ATGCCCGGGTAAAGAAACCGTGGTAAAGAGAAAAAACACCACCTACAAAGGATCGCAGGAGAAATTATACATCAAGGAGAACGCGCACACGGCCACAGAGTCAGGTGCCAGCAAGGCCGCCGTTCCGGAAACTGAAACGCCAACAGGAGGCAACAAAAATACCAGGAACAGAAGAAATTCAAGAAGGACTCCAGACCGGAGGACGTCAAGACCAGCCGTCCCAGGGAAAAACGGAAAAGGCCAACAACCAGACGATTACTCCGTCCAAGAGGCCAGCATGCAGAGGACGCAAAAGAAAAAGCAATGTGGACGACACTCGGAGGTCAGTAAGGAGAAGATTGACGTCCATGAAACCTCTAACTTGGGAACAATTTTGCCAAAAAGAATGACGGAGTTTCAAGCATCGAAAACTCAAAGATAAGTTAAAATCTTCTATAAATTTTTTTCTCTTTTGTTCCGAAATGTTATGCATAAGTACGAAGTTCTATGTTTTGACGAAAGTCAATATGTCTCGGTTGAGACTTAGTTTTGTTTTACTTTATTTAGCTAAGGCAAAAGTATTATTTTCTTTAAGTGTAAAAGCTAAGAACAAGCATTTTCTGTTGGTCGAAAGACTAATTCTGTTATGTTAAAGCCAAAATTTGGCCGAAGAAGATAAAATAACTTCGTATTCTTGTATTAATAAGAATTTTAGTTTCAGTGCCGCCAGCTTGGCGAAGAATGAGTAAAGTAAAAATTTATTTTCTCTTATTCATTTTATGGTAAATTGTAAAAATCATATGTATTAAAATTTTGTAAATGTACGTAAATACTTGAATGTTATGTAAAAGTAGAATTTAGTCTAGAAGCATAAAATTGTTAGATGCTAAAAGTGAAATGCTTAAAAGCAATGAAGTTCAAAATTTAAGTATTAAACTGTAGATAAAGTCATGCTTTAGAGCGAAAGCCTGCATGTTTAAAGATGAATGAGGGGGAAGTTAGAATGAATGTGTTTTGTAGGGTTCTCCACCTACATTTGAATTTTTAAGAATATTAAAGTAGCTCATTGAGTTGTAGAATGTCGAGTAAGGTGTGTCTATTTGGTCGTTGAATTCTAACAAATCATGGTGGTTAGGGGAAGTGTTGTAAGACTAAAACACGAATATTCCCGTTTGACACCACACACATGGTGGAGAGCCAGGGTAAAGTTAAATTAATGCTTGAAAAATTGAATGAATGTGAAGTAAGCAATAACTAAGAAAACGAATCGTTTAAAAACAAAAATTTATTGTGTCAAGAAAGTGTAAATTATAATGTATTAGAAAGATACTGATACTTATTCCTTCCAGATGCTGGAAGGAAAGACCAAGATTGATTGATGAAGTCCAGGAAAAGTTGCTGTAAGAGAAGAGCTTTAAAGATCACAGAATTTTAGTATACAAATTTGTTACATAAGATTTTTTTTTTTGTGTAAACGAGGTTCTCGCCAGTTAGTTCAGAATTAGAGAAACTTACAACAGGTCGTTTGTAGGACCTGCTTCCAAGTTTTCCAAATTCTGGCAGCGGCAAATGTAGGGTTTATATTTATTTTAACTAACATTTATTTTAAGTTTAAACTATCTTTCCTGTCAAGCCTTACTTTCCCCTGGAACTGCCAATGCCAGAATATGTAAATTTTAGTAGAACGCGCAAGGATTCAAATTATCAGCGGAAGTATTCTGATTTAAAATAGAAAGGGAAACGAGTTCGGGTGTGTGATATTCTTACTTCACGAGCGCGGAGGTAGTTAGCGAGAATTGAAGAACCCCGCGTTGCGGCCTATGTGCTTGGCGGAAGTAGTGTTAATCGTTCCAGTGAGCTTCAAGTCTGCTGAATTAGCAGCGGTATTGTAAAACTAAAACGCGGTGAGTTAGTTATTTTAGAGAGCCTCGTAGTTAGAATCTTGTCTTTACTTTCTTTTCAGGTTATTATTTTTATTTGACCGCCGAGTTGGCACAGTTGTGAGCGTCAAGAGCACGCAATTGTAATTTATTACGTTGAATAAAAAGGGACTTAAACCCTTCACAAGGCTCTATCTTTTATACAAGTTTTCACAGTCACCTCTTGGTTGCGTGCAAGTTGGAGGCGCGCAACGTTATAACATGATGACAGTTCTAATTTTGTTCAGCTTGGATAGTGGCATTTCCAATCTTTAAAGCGATCTTTTTCTGTATAGTTTCTCGAATTTTGAATAGGACTCAAGTTAGAGGATTGAGCTGACCAAGGAAATGATTTGTACGGAGAATCATGCTTCCCAAACAAACCTGAATCTTTCAGTAGAACAAAGCATGCCTTGTTCTACTGAAAATCAGCATTTGTATCAGGGAACATCCCAACCATAAATTAGTGGACGTGATTGACAACAATATTGGCTTAATCTATGGTTCTAAATGTTGTCTTCCAACACATCAAGGGAGGCATTGTATTCCAGGAAAATATTTCCTTAAATCCAAAGATACCAACCTGAAGAATTGTCATTAGGCAAGAGGTGTTGTAAGAATTATGTTAATTTTATTAATTTACCCCTTCCGGCCAGACCGTAGTTTTAGAATCACAGCTGAATACATAATGAGGAAGAGCGGTATTTAACCGGAAGTTCTTCGGTCTTAGTGAGAGAGATACCAAGTATTCTGGTATCTCTCTCACTAAGACCGAAGGCTGCAAGCGTCCGCCGTTTTAGACTACTCTCGTAAGTAGTAAGCTATTATTACGCTCGGCCGTAATTTAGGCCCTTGATAGCTTCATAGTTTATTAACGTTAAGGGACCAACTCTGTTAGAATCTTGATAGCTTCGGCTGTATCTCTTTAGTTAAGGTTAGTTTTGTTTAATTCTTAGTCTCTTAAGTTCAAGCCCAAGTGTCGCTTTATTGTACACTCCAAGACGGAGTTTTGTTAAACTTTGGTTGGAATAATAAAGGGTTAGTTTACTCTTCCATCTTGTTGTTTCCTGTCACACGAACTCAGGCGATTATTTGCTTATCAGTGCTTAAGATTCTTCACTTCCAACAGTGACTTAGAATTACAAAGTGAGGAACTCTACAGTGTCTATAAATCTATATCTATATGTCTATTCGTTCTATGTGCACCGTACTCTGATACTGCCAATAGCATAATGGAGTCCTGAGATTCATCGGAGCAAGCAATTTTTTTAATCATCAGGGGTGCAATTTCGGTGCTTCTGGAGCGCACAGTAATCGTGATTTCTGCTTATCAATGACGACACAGGCATACTTGGCGATCTCTCGTTATTGAAACCTTTTCTTTGCAAAGTCCATTGTGTTGTGCGTTCGGATATGTTTTGTGATAAACCTGAATTGCATTGAACTGCAATAGGACGTGTTTTTGGTCTTCTATTGCCGCGAATTGTTCCTGCCAGGCATTCATCAGCATTTATTAGTATTGTCTTTACTGCCTGAAATGTTTTTGTTCTACTTCCACAACCAAGATACTGTTGCACAAGAAAAGCCTAGAGGATTAGCCCTTTCAAAGATGTTGAAAGCGAGTATTCTTGCATCCACAGTCATGCCTCGTTCGAGACCATTTAAATCTCTCGATTTGACCGTTTTCACGCTAAATATAGTAATAACGTTTTCTTTTCAAAAATACCATGACTTGACTATTATATCACCGTATATCAATAGCAGGCTGGTATACTGTAAATGCTTTATTTTATTCTAACCGGTTATTTTTAGTTTGACTTTCCTTTCCCTCCTGATTTCAGTTTCTTACCGAAATGTAAATTTTGTATGCAAAATCTAAGTATGTTCAGAAGCAGTATTTAAGCTGCGGTTTCAAAACTTCGTTAGGAGTAGAAGCGGAGTTAGTTCTGAGTCTATGCTGTGAATTTGAAATAGCTCTCGGGTTAGTATTAGTCACCCTCTTCAGATTATATTGAGATTCTAGACTCCGCTTTGCTCTGTGCAGTCGATTTAGGCGTAATGGCAAACAGCACATTGAGTTGATCAATGTTAACGAATTTCGCTTAGTGCGCATGCTCAGTGGTGTACCGTTGCCGTGAGAGGAAATACTGGCGACTAAGGGAGGAAACCTACACAAGCCTGTTAGTCATGCTGGTTTTACTGTTTTACAATTGCAGTACTACGGAAATATGTGTGTGCTTATTGCATGTGCTGCTGTTTCATTTCGCTCTGTTTTAATTCGTTCATAAACATTTAATTTAACATCAGTTATTTGACTTTAATTCAGTAATTTAAACTGGATTTATTCCTTAATTTTTGACAGTATATATGAAAGGAACGTATAGTAAATGCTCAGTTGCTTTTATTCCTCAGAAGTATAATCAATAAGCATTCAGCTAATATATCTTGTAATGTTTCCTGTTTTGAAATCCTTCTTAAACGAAAATGTGCATAGTTTGCAGTCGATAATTATAATCAAAGTAACTACGCAACTTACAATCTAACAAATTTTAAACCCCCGAACTGTTTACGCGTAGATAAGACAATATCAACCATATATCGTGTTTACCGTCTTTTAAAATTGCGCTAAAGTTGTAATTGCGCCAAATTCTATTCTGGGCATGCGCAGTTAGCGAAATTCTTTTAACATTTATCAACTCAATGTGCGGTTTGCCATTTCGTGTCGATTTAGCGGTTGAGATAAATAAGGAGCCAGTCGTTTAAGTTATCTCAATTCATTGTGATTTTACATTTTTATTTTCTGTGCAAATTATTTATTCACAAGTGGTGGTGAATTGTGAGCCCCGAGTGAGTTCATCTTGTTACGTTAGTTCAATTAAAAAGGTTATTTAAACTTTCTTCTGTAGTATCTGTTCTTCAAATACAGAGCGAGTATTCGCTACTTCGTCTTCAGTATAGAGTCTATAATTTATGCTCTCAAAAGGACATAGATTCTATAATACTATGTTAAAAAAGTGGGTGTCTAATATTTTGGCCACTCAGTGTATGTTTCATAATCTCATCAGAGAAATACAAGGTTGTAGAGAAAGTATCTGGTCTCACCTTGGAAAGATTCAAGCTGTATTACATCATCACAGTTTATTTCGGATTTTTTAATCCTTCTCAGAACAGCATTTACTACAGCCGATGGGTTGGTTGGAAATATCGCTATGTGATCTCCGGGTTCATAATTTAGCATCGTAGGATCGCTAGCTTCAAGACGGATTAGCAACGTCTGCCGGCTGAAATAGCAACAATAATAATAATAAAAACAGTGTTATTTGCTTTTATTGAATGAATGCTAAATATTGCTCTACAAATTCCAATAATTAACGGAAGAATGTATGAATAATTATTGAAATTTGCTTATACGATTCTACTTTAAGAAAGAAATACTTAATAATTTACTAGCCCAAAGGGACAATTTTCCCAGAAGGGTTACTAATTTCGTTTTAACATTTTGTTTTGGTTCACTATAAACGGCTTTTCACTTTTCAGATTGTTGCCGCCAAATATTAGAACTTATATTTAAAGAAACATTATATTTAAATAAATTAAATAATGAAGAAGCTGCATGAATGTATGTATGTTTTGTGCATTGTGAAAAAACAACGGTATCTAGAAACATAAAATTTTGAATAACGTAGTCCTACACCGAATATGGGCATCTGGAAGCCCGAATTTGGAATTTGTTTTATTATCTATTTCATATTTTATAAAACTGTAACGAATTCTTGATTAGGAAACTCAACGATTTTCAAAACAAGCAATGGCAACACTGTACAGGAAAAAAAAAAAAAAAAAAAAAAAAAAAAAAGATTTGCAGCGTGCGAGACTGTGTATCGGAAATTCTAAAGATATGCTCAATTTATAATTATTTTGCGGTATTGCTGTTGAACTGAATTTTATGGTTTAAGTGCGAAGAACATGATATTTAATAAATAAAGGTAACAAACAAAACGTTAAAAAACGCCCCTTTGAGAGTACTGTAAAATCTGAAAGATTTCAGATTTTTTTTTAAATTTTAGAGGCAATCGTACTTATTTACTTCAAGTTAAGTAGATAAAAATTACTAAGTTTTATACTGTACAATAAACGAACAACGTACCAAAATTCCAGTGAACGAATGAAAATTTTCCTGTCGTTTACAGTGTTGCCACACATATAAAAACAAAAGTAGAGAAATTATGAAGTACAATTTTTGAACTAAATATTATGTCTTTGCGGAAAGTGCATTTACGCCTCCACCACTTTCAAAGAAATTACATTTGCAATTTCATTGCTTATGTAAATCTGTATTGACAAAATAATGAAAATTCTGAAGGATTTTTTGGGGAGCTATTTATAGACAAAAAGCTCATAGCAGACTGCATTAATTATTATCCTTAACTAAAATTTCTCAAAAATTAACTTCTCCATTTAAAAAAAGCTTATATCTAGGTATATGATGTCAAAAATCACAAATGTTCGCATTCTCATACAATGATTATTTACACGACGAATGATTGTTTGATGAAAAACTGATGTCAACAACAACACACCAAAGCCTTAGAGTAAGAACTGAAAATTTGTTCGATAGATGTTATTTGCTTTTTTATTGATTAGAGCTCATGTGAAAATAAATTCCGAAAAAAAAAAAAAAAAAAAAAAAAAAAAAAACAGTCTAAGTCTTACAATCGCATTTAAAATCTAAAGGAAATTTTAAATGCGATCTTCGCGGCAAGGCAAAAATGCATAAAATCCTTCAAATATCTTCATTAAAAATTGAAAAATATAGTAAAACGTAAAACACCAAAATGCAGTCAATACAGTTAAAAAACACTTTTTACATTTAAAATGAGAGTTTTTATGCATAAGGAAGCAATTCGGCCAGCGGGCAAGAGGCAGATTTTTTGGCGCAAAATACTGAAAGTTTACTTTTGGTCCCACTTGGCATAAAGACATTGAAGGTGCAGAAATTGACTTAATTCACTTTCCTGCTAAGTTTCAAATGTAAACAAATATGGGTGTTAGGGTAAAAAAAATTAGGCTTAGCCGCACTTAAAGAACATTTAAATTGTTGATAATTTGATAATTTTACAACTATTGTATGCATATTAAATAAGGCGTAAAATCCTTAACCGGAAGATAAGAAAAACACAATTCAATCATTTTGAAAGCAAAAAATGCACAATTTACCAACATAATATAAGAATGGAGAAAAAAAAAAAAAAAAAAAAACCCAGCTCACGGAGCTGAGTAACAGAGTGGGTACAAATATATATATATATATATATATATATATATATTTGCATACCTTTGGGTGGCCATTTGCTACCAAAAACGGAGGTGCATTAACTACATGTTATAGCAGTCCTATGTGCAAAATTTCGTTCTGAGGTTTTAATTATGCGAAATACATACATATGTACGTACAGACGTCACAAAAACTCTCTTCTGAATCCATTTTAAATCAATTTCAGAATCCGTTTGAAAAATGAGTCCTTTATCCTGTCTTTACGTACAGATGTCACGCAAAAATATCGTTAAATTGCATTCGATAGCGGTCAAAATGGATATTTTCGCTAAAATATGATACCCGGAATTTTTTGTGATTACAATACATTCTTTACTTCGCACAAGAACGTAAAAATCGTCTTAAACTTTTGAAAAATATACTTTGGAAAACATTGACATTTGAATTTCGTTACATACTTACAGAAATTTATTTAATGATTTTATTTACCTTTCACAGTTATTTATTTTTTAGTATTGTCAATTCAATATCACAGCTATTAATGCACAATCATCTTTAATTTTATATAATATAAATATTAAAATAAATTCGATGATTTTATTTAATTGTTGACTATTTAAGGAATAATACTGTACAAAAAACTAAATTTATAATTAGTGTGCATGTGAAACACATTTTAAAGCATCTCCACATTTTTCGATTTATAATCAATTAATTGAATCATTATTAAGTAATTCAATTGATTAAATATCAAAATCATGATGTTCTATAATGCTTTAAACATTTTTAAGGGCAGATTGAGTCGTGTGTTTATTCTTAACAGTTTATATATTTAATTAAAATATTATATTCTAATTCCAAGAAGAAGACGCGCGCTTGAAATTGTGGCATTTTATCAAAACAAGTTAACGGAAGATTTACTACAAACAAGAATTAAGTTGAAATTCATTACCTGCATTTATTACATTTTAGCATTATAAGAATAAACTTTCGAAATCTCTCGAATTTAGAATTTGCTGAAGGCTTTAGATATCTAGTATAAGATTTTGTAATTAATATTATTAAACTTTTATTCTATGAGGCGTAAAACATACAAAATATTATTAAAAACACTTACTCAGAATAGGATGCTTGAAGTTTCGTTTTTGACAAGATTTTCATCGGAAACACTTTCTTATTATGCAGTTTGGCCAGTTCTGCAGAGAAAAATGTAATACTAAGTTCAAAATTATAGCTCGAAAGTAAATTTAATGTTTTTTTACTCAGAAAATGGAAGATAGTTTTAATTATATAACAATTTCAATAATGAAAGTTTTCAAATGAATTCAGTATTGAAATTCTTGAATAACCTAAAAAGAAAAGATAAATACCGAATAAATAATTAAATACAAAAATCAGTTTCAGTAATTTAAAATAATTCGGCATTTCAAGTGGTAACTTATTTAGAATATACTGGATTTAACAAAATTTATGTTTTTAAGGGAATTATAATTTAAAAAAATCTGTAGTGTTTCGATAAATTTTTATGAAGTCAGGCGCTGCGTTTTTGAACTTTATTTTTCATGAATGATTAGTTAACTTGAATTCTTAATTACATATTCCTTAAAATACTTCTTACGATATTGTGAAGTGTCTCGTGGTTTAACTAAATTTTTATTATTAAAACATTTCTGAAAAATGTACTTTTTTTGTTTTGCAAAATGTGCAGTAAGATTTATAGAATGGTTTAAATTTAGCTTTGAATTTTGCCAAAAAGCTTTTAATCTGTTGAAAAGAGTCAAAAAGGGATAAAGATGTTGGGGCAACCCTGCTTTATATTTATTCTGCTTTATATTACAACTTTTCCAGTAATTTTTCATATAATTTCACTTCCGTTCTTACAATCTCATCTTCCTGTTTCCTTACCTGCTATTATGTTCCGCTCTTTATTTTCCGCATTCTCGAAGCGGAAATGGTCTTTCTTCCACGTACTGCTAACATTCATGTCTGGGATCAATAGTTCATCAACTGATTCCAAACGGAAATCCTGGCACGAAGTCTGAAAGTAAAATATATTTACATTAAAATTTAGTTAATCCTTATTCACACACTGAAGTTTTAATTGTGACTTGTTAAATATAAAATTTTACGATGATAATACGTATGTTTGAAAAGTCAAGTTCTGAAATGTCATTTGGTCATTTAATTAAAGTAACTCTGATTAATTAAACCACATGGTATGAAAAAGTAAAACGATAAATCATACTTTATAAAGGTCTGGTAGCCATTTGTTGAAAGTATGTTCTTGACCTCGAAGTTCATCACTTAATTCGATTGGCATTAGCCTCTCCCCACCAATTTCAGCTAAAATTTGATCAACATCCTTTCCAAATTTACAGAAATGTGGGTAGTGACTTGATCCCAAGGCAAACACGGCATACCTAATAATATAACGAATTATTCAATATTAATATATAAATAACTACGTACCCTGTAACAAAACTGTGATAATTAAGTTATAAAAGTGGAAACATGTGTTGCCGAGAAAGCAGTTATTGGGTGCAAAAGGAGGATAAAAATTAAAAGGGAAATATTTATGAAATAATTCATCGTAGGATGCAAGTGTGACAAGTAATTTCCAAATGGATTTCGGAAATCTTTGAAGTATTTTTTAAGAAACCACATATATCTGTATAAAATTATTAAGTATTATATATTTATTACGAAATAAATATAAAATATTTATTGTTATTTTTGTTACTATTTCTAAGTTTTTTTTTCCGTTTTTTTTTCTTCTTTCTCTCTCTCTTTTTCTCCTCCACAGTGATAGTGTATGTACACTGGCAGGGTACATACACTAAATTTGAAATCGTTTTGAAAACATTCGTTTTGCTTTAACTTTGGTGTATTCTTTGCCATGTAACAAGCAATATGATTATCAAACAATTGAAATGTCATAAATTGGGTCAATAAATATGCATATAATTTCTTTGGCGATATATGAAAATCTTATATCTAGGCCTAGGCCCTATGCCAGTGGCATTATGCGATAAGTAAGTAAGTAAGTGAAACGTTCCAGAACAGACTAAACATTTACTTAAATTACATAATATCATTTTTTTTTTCGATTATGGAAGAAAGTAATATTGTAGTCGCGTGCCGGCTGATGAGTCTCAGCATGCTGACTGTGGCACGCGTGCCATAGGTTCGCCATCATTGGCATAAGCAGAACTTGGTTGCTAGGCAAGTAGATCTTGCTACGTCACAAAAACCGGTATAAAGATTTTGATCAAATGTTGTAAATTTACGTCAAGATGATATAAGAACCTACGCAGTAAATAGCGTGCTGAAGATTTATTGACGCATTCAAATGCATGCGCAAATTTACCTTTCTCGACTGACTGTTCGACAGTTCAGTTCAGTTGACGATGAATGAGGGCACTTAGTCTTGAGCTAATGATTTTTACGCCTTATGACTGTGACAATTGTGGTTTTTAAGTCTTTGTGTGAACCCTGCCTAAGCGGCTGAAATAAAAAGTTGTATTGTATCCTACAGTATTTAACATAATATGCCTTTTCGACGAACAAGCAGTTTACATATAGTTTATTGATATGAAATGCGAAATATTTAAAGACTCTCAAGTTCTATAATTTCATTGTTTAGTTTACTGTCTGTCTGATTTATCAAAGAGGAAAAGAATAAAACCTTACTTTAGATTTTTAAACTTTATTTTTCTTTCTTTCAGTTTCTTCAGTGTATCCCAAAATACCTAAAAAAATTATTTATGAAATTCACTAATATACTTAAATATATACCATACGTCAAATGTCAAATATAGTTAAACAAACATAAACAACAAAATTTTTAATTGTTACAATGAAAAATCATAACAATATTTTATGTAATCTATCTATCTATCTATCTATATATATAAAGAAAAAATGTTTGTTTGTTCTCTAATAACTCAGTCACTACTATAGCTGTCGTCACCACATTTTCTACAATTCTTTTCTGGGTCCTGGAAAAGGTCAACGGCCACTTTTTCCCAAACAAAATAGCTAAAATCAGAGCTATTAATTAAAAACTCGGAAAAACGATTATTTCCGCACTCATTTTCCTGAGTGGCAACAGTCTCGCAAGCTGGAGATAAAAATCTGCTTTATTTCGAAAGTTGTTGCCACTACTCGCTTTCAAATCCTAGAGTCTGTTAATAAAAATGTCTAAGTTTTACGATGAAATAAAAATAGCATTGCAAACATTAAACACATTTCTCCCGATTCCAAAAATTCGTGGGAAGCCATCTCGACTTTTCCCATCTTCGTACGACTTTAAGCAGCTGAAATATTAATTAAAACTAAGTTAATTAAAAAATATGCGGGATTATTAAGTAAAAATTAAATATACAGTAATAAATTGGAAATATTTTTATAAAAGTTTATCGAATATAAAAATTAAATTCTCTAATAGTTTTAAATACGACTTGTTAGGATATGTATAAATTTAATGTTTAAAATTATTCTTTTAGAGTTAGTTAAATGATAAAAAACTAAATAACAAAACTAGCAATATATTCTTGATGCGTTAATAATCGCATGCTATTAATAAAACACTTGATGCTTACTTTTCCATTATCTGGTGGTTCACCACTTCCAAATGTACTTGCAACAATAATAAGAAAAGTTTCGTTTAACAGTTCCTTGCAGTCATAATCATTCATACATGTCACCTAAAAATTGTTTCCTGTTAGAGCTATCAACAATCAAATAATTTTTGTAATGTAACTATTTAAAAAACAATTACTATAAAACATTTCTTTACGCAACTTTATATTGAATACTGTAAAAATGAAACAGCCTTCTTTGTAAAAGTCAGGAAAATATTTGTATGTTTTTGCAATAATATTACAGAATGATCATTTACGACTGGTTGATGGGAAATAAGGCATACTGAATTGTTATTACATATAGGAAGGCAAGCGGTAAGCAGGGAAAATATAGGGTCATGGTAACAAAATGTCTTCAGACGAATTTAAATGAAATTAACGGAAATTGAACATTAAACAAATTATTTTAAAACATTTTAAACATTGATACGTTGAACTATTAATAACTATTAATCAACAACAGAGTAAATAATTTTTCTTGTGGATTATTTTAAATAAAAAACACCGAATAATTTTTTAAATGATAGTTGAGTGTTGAATATATGTTGAAATTAAAGAGTTAGAAGCTAAATTAGAATTAAATCTATGCGAATAACTATAGAGTAACGAAAGAAAAGAAATTTTGACAATATCCAAGTAATCATATTTATATGTACTATTAAAATCTGTGTGCGTCTGTTTCTTTGTTTGCGTGTGGCATTATCTCCTCCGGAACGGCGGGGAGTTCAGTTTCGAGAGAGGCAGCTCCAGGATTCCAAAAATTCGATAAAAGCCATTTCGACCATTCTCATCTTCGTACGACGTCAATCACCCGAGATATTAATTCAAAACTATGAAAATGCTAATTTTCGCACTTTTTTTCCGAGTGGCAACACTCGCATGCTGGAGATAAAAATCTGCTTAATTTCGAAGGGTTGCCACTGTCTTTTATTGATACTGAGAAAAAGTTGTTATATTAAATTAAATTTAAATCATGAGGTCATACGTATTAACCTGCAATATCAAAAGTTTTTGCTTATTTGGCAAGAAAAAATTTATTTACGAATTGGATGCTGCTTGGAAAGATTGAGCTAATTTCCTTTATAATAAAATGTTTTATACATTTTCTTTTCAGGCGTACATAGAATATATAAGTTTTGCTTTGGCCGCAGCCCGCTAGTGTGTAATAATAAAAAAGGAATAGTGCTTTTTAAAAGTATTTTTAATACCTGATAGTGCTATGTACTAGACAGTGTAATATATTTTAAATTTTAATAAAAAAGAAGTCCCGAAATAAAACATTTTCAGCATTCTGTTATACTTTTTAAAATTTCCACCTCATTTTCATGTTGTACATTAGAAATAAAAAATATAGTTACTGAAAACTTTAATTTTCCAAATGCTCAGTCAAATTAAAAACAATTCCATAAAATTGGTAAATAATATGCATTTAAATTTAAAACAGAAATAAATATTTTGCTTACTTTTGTATTAAACGAAGACTGTAAAACTTTTCCCAGTTTGTTGGCGAATGTTTTGGATTTGCCAGTTTCTGTTGCAAAAAGAATGGTTGCTTGAACTCGATCACCGATAACCTTGGATATTAAGCATACGCATGTATGGACAACCCTGAAAATATTCAGTTTGAAATACCAGTAAATATCGCTAGTTTTGAAAAGAAGATTTGATTTGCTATTAATATATGAAGAGTAGTAAATAAAAATCTCAATTTGAAGGTGTATGGTTCGATAAGTCCAATCTATTTAGAAGAAAACACCTCCAGGGTTAGATGACGATATTGTTAAGAAACTAAATTAAAGATGTCTATCTGGTAGAAATTTGTTGCCTACTGCATAAAGATATCTGTCACAAGAGAATCACAACATAATTTATTCATGGCACGAAGATAATTTAATCATAATTTTGAATTTATATCTGCAAAAATTACGCCAAAAGCTTCTTCCATTGGTGAATTGGATTTTCTTGAAGCTCTTCACATTTGAAAAGACTTATCTTGTTTAGTTAATAATTTTTATTCAGATCTAGTTCTTCCTAACGTTTTTAAAATTTTATTAATTTAATTTTTCAATTTTCATTAATATTTCTGCCGAAAGACGGCGCTACCTTCTCTTTCGCTTTGCTCCTGGTGAGTGCAAATACGACCGTGGCTTCCTCTTCGTTGCAGATTTCTTTGCTTCTGACGAAGAAGGACCAGTATCTGTTTGCCCTCGAAATTGATAGCGACTTGACTAAAATCTACGCCAAACACAAGGTTATTGCTTTGCTAATTTTATCTGACACAATTTTTTTTTTCATGACATCACCCGATTGATATTCCCAGAAGAACGATCGTAGAAATTCATACATTCATAGAAAAAACCCGTATTGTGTATGTAGTGGGATCAAGTGGGTGTGAGGTATTATAAAGTTTTATTGATCTTATAAACACAAGGTTATTGCTTTGCTATTTTTATCTGACACATTTTTTTTTTCATGACATCACGATTGATATTCCAGAAGAGATTCGTAGAAATTCATACATCATAGAAAAAACCCGTATTGTTGTATGTAGTGGGATCAGTTGGTGTGTGTATTATAAAGTTTTTATTGATCTTATAAAAACAAGGTTATTGCTTGCTAATTTTATCTGACACCAATTTTTTTTTCATGACATCACCCGATTGATATTCCCAGAAGAACGATCGTAGAAATTCATACATTCATAGAAAAAACCGTTGTGTATGTAGTGGATCAAGGGGTGTGATGTATTATAAAGTTTTTTATTGATCTTATAAACACAAGGTTATTGCTTTGCTAATTTTATCTGACACAATTTTTTTTGCATGACCACACCGATTGATATTCCCAGAAGAACGATCGTAGAAATTCATACATTCATAGAAAAAACCCGTATTGTGTATGTAGTGGGATCAAGTTGGTGTGATGTATTATAAAGTTTTTATTGATCTTATAAACACAAGGTTATTGCTTTGCTAATTTTATCTGACACAATTTTTTTTTTCATGACATCACCCGATTGATATTCCCAGAAGAACGATCGTAGAAATTCATACATTCATAGAAAAAACCCGTATTGTGTATGTAGTGGGATCAAGTTGGTGTGATGTATTATAAAGTTTTTATTGATCTTATAAACACAAGGTTATTGCTTTGCTAATTTTATCTGACACAATTTTTTTTTTCATGACATCACCCGATTGATATTCCCAGAAGAACGATCGTAGAAATTCATACATTCATAGAAAAAACCCGTATTGTGTATGTAGTGGGATCAAGTTGGTGTGATGTATTATAAAGTTTTTATTGATCTTATAAACACAGGTTATTGCTTGCTAATTTTATCTGACACAATTTTTTTTTTTCATGACATCACCCGATTGATATTCCCAGAAGAACGATCGTAGAAATTCATACATTCATAGAAAAAACCCGTATTGTGTATGTAGTGGGATCAAGTTGGTGTGATGTATTATAAAGTTTATTGATCTTATAAAACAGGTTATTGCTTTGCTAATTTATGGACACAATTTTTTTTTTATGACATCACCCGATTGATATTCCCAGAAGAACGATCGTAGAAATTCATACATTCATAGAAAAAACCCGTATTGTGTATGTAGTGGGATCAAGTTGATTTGGATGTTATTAGAAAAAAAGTTGCTCGAATTTTATTATCGAATCAAAGATCAGAAGATTGAGCCAGCCGAAATTTTTTTGTAGTGGGATCAAGTTGGTGTGATGTATTATAAAGTTGCTCGAACCATTATCGAACAAAGATCATGAAGATTGAGCCGAGCACTCAAAGAAAAATGCTCCAGACATAACAAAATTATTCTGCTCCATGTAACGTTCATCCACATGTTGCTGCATCCGTCAGACTCCACTCGGAAACACCCAAATGTCAAGTTTTCCCTTCAGACATTGCGTGATTATTACTCGTTTCGAATGATGATGCATGGCTTGTCTAAGCAGCGCTTCACATCGTGGGAAAATACAAAAAATTGGGTTGATTTGTGAATAACCTCGAAAGATGAAGCTTTCTTGGGACGCTGTATTCGTGTGCTACCAGAGAGATGGGAAAAAGTAGTGACTAGTGATGGACAATACTTTGAATAATCTTCTTTATCTCACAATAAATGCTCTGTTTTTGATAAAAAGCAGCGGAGACTTTATTTGCACTATAGAACTAATCCTGTAGGCACAGTGATAATGATGCCTTTTAAGCGATAAACACCGCTGGAAGATGAGAACCAAAACTCTTGTAGAGTGTGAGATTAAAAGTTAATACCATTACCCACTGGGTTAATTTGTTGATTATGATTCCTGACGTCCCATCTGTTACAAAGCCAGGCCATATTAAAAAAAATCAAAGTTTATCAATTAATTTCGAGAGAAATGGTTTTATATTTGGTAAACCTTTATATCTGCAGTCCAACACTGGATCGTAAAAGATATAGTTTCTTAATATGGCGGGGTACCTGATCTTTCAAAGAAGATGTGCGAATTTATAATTATTTTGGTCAATAGAATCAAATTTTAGATCGTGGTAGTTTGTACGTTAGAAATGTATTACAGCAGAACAGATCTTCGAATCTTGTTCCGAACAATTTTAATCTTCTTTCCGTGACCGGCGGTTACAACAGTCCATTTCAAAAAATCTCGATTTTCCTGCCGATCCTTGTACTTAGTGTCAGACCTTATTGTTCTTGAAGTAAGGTTTTCGTATATGGTTATGCAGATATTTATTTCAAAATTTGCTATTTGTTTGGGGCTTGGAGACTGTAGTACTAATTTCATTAAAAATCTACTTTTTAACCCTTTCTGGCGTAGTGTGTTCGGTGTGAACAGACCAAAAATATTCTCTCTTTAGACGCTGAAAAAATTCGATAAATATCACGAAAACTACACTAATGATTACTTTTAATCTCTTTTATGAATAATAGATGGCAGCACCACACAAGCAAATCATTAACGTTGAGATGTATTCTATTTTTAAAGACACTGATTTTTCAAAGAAATATTTCAGATATTTTTTTAAATATAAAGAATATCAATGAAAAAAAAAACTTTATATCATTTTATTGTTCGTATGCTAATCTGCGTATTCTGTATTACTTTTAATTTTAATTTTTGAAATATTGAAATATTTTAATTTTTGAAATATAGTGAAGCCTTCAGTGTATGGTGTGTTGGGACTGAAAATACTGTACTGGTACTCCTTGTCACGTGCGTGTGAGTCACAGAATCTGGTGTCGTGCTTCAAACACGGAGGAGGATGAGAGCGCAGATTTTTATTTGTTTTTATATTTGTTTTTGATTTTGAAGACCTCGGTGTTTTGTTTTCACTTAGCTATTTGATTTCAGCGAGAGCAGGCTCCTTTTTCTCTTGCTTTCATCGTGCGTAGTTTGCTTAGTTTTGATTTCTGTAGATTTTATTGTATACATATCTTTAATAATTATTTTTTTTAGTAAATAATTAATTGCAAATATTATAGTATTTTAATTCTTTTTCTTATAAATTTTAAAATTATGTAAATGGCTCGGAGAGACCTCAGCATTGCCGAAGCAAGGACAATTTTTTACCCGTTTTTTTGGGGGGTGTGTGTGTGGAGTAGCAGGCCTCCCCGTGGTGCACCCTGGGTTATGCTAAATCTGCAGCAGAGATCAGATTCTACTGTTCTTAAATCATAGACAAAGCATTTTACTGTAATACGTGCTTCACAGCAATGCTCACCTATCGCAGCTCGTGTGGCTCAGTGTGTTCGCTTTTGACACACTCACAAAATGAAAACGGTTTGTGAAATCTTTGTAAAATTATACCTGCCTACTCTCCTAGGCCTAAATAGACGGCCTACAAATTTTTTTGGTAAAATTCCAACTTTAAAGAGTAGCGTGCCGGAAAGGGTTAATGCAACTCAAAAACAACATTACGTTATGTTGCTTACATTCCTGCTAAATAAATAATTACAGTTTAATAATGGGCATATTCTGTTCTTCAAATGCTTTCCCTTTTCAAATAATTTTAGAAAATAAATTACTATGTGTTATAGATGCTGTATAATACTATAATCTCAAATAACAAAAAATATGTATTTTAATAAATAATCTCGAATATTATGCATTATGTTATATCGAATAAACATTGGGAAACTAGCAATAAAAATAAATATGTAAAACCTGATTACTCAAAGAATATGCGAAATACGTGACATATACCTAGAAATACTTGCAAGCTTGTATTTTAGTTGGATGTTGTTATTTTGGGGCCATTTGTATGTGATCCATGCTTTCTCCTGGTATTCATAGCTCGGTTTTAGGTTATAAGTTATCATTTCTTGGTGAAATACTGGCGTAGCAGATCCGCTAATAGGAGGAACAATCCATACCCAATCAGCGGGGCAGCCACCACGGAGCTTTTGCTCTGTTTCCATGTGAGTCATGAAAGTTTCTGCTGCAGTGTGATGGTCCATTATGGTCACTTTGTTTTTCTGAAAGTAGAAAGTATTTCGTGTTTCAATGCTATGTTATATTAAAGGAAATTTACACAAAAATGTGAAATGCCATAATTATAATTGTTGACTGTAAAGTTTTAAGAGTGACTGTCTTTCTCTATCTAGATGATAGGCATCATAAACCTAAGTTTTGTGAGTACATTAGAACTCCAGTTATCCGAATCAATTGGGACCAGACCCCATTTGGATAATCTAAAAATCCGAATAAGTGGATTTTTTTTTTGATGAAAGGGTTTTCGTATACTTTAATTAATTGCTGTACGTACTGTATATTGAAAATGGGAGGGGAAAAACTGTTTTTTTTAAAAAAGAGGTTTTAATTAATTAAAAAGAAAAGGCAGCACTTTTTACGTACATGTTATACAGTTTACTGTACAGTACTTACGAGTGCTAAAAGTCATTGCTTGCTGAACTTCGTTGTCAAAGTAAGCTGCTTGACTGTCTCCATCTGTTTTCGGGCAGCCAAGTTGCGTATCCGCTTGACAATGAGAAGTTGCATGTGGTCACACGTGGGTTGACGCTCCATCCACTTCGACGCAGTTTCAAGGCCGGCAAACGCTTCACTAACTGATGGCCCCCTGTTTGCTTCAACTTCGACATTAAGGTCATCTTCTTCTTCGACACTTTCTTCTCTCACACTTTCAATAAGTCCATCATCATTTAGAATTTGATACCCGGGATCTGACCATTTGCTCCTTTTAATATCTGAGATCGTCGATTGTCTAACACCGCACATCTCAGCTAACTGTTTACCCGTAACTCCTTTATCGGATTGCCCTATAATATTTAGTTTATCCACTAACGATCCACTAACACACACGTTTTCTTTTATAAGCAGTGGAAAACGTGCTGACGTTTCTGACTGCCAACGAAACGCACTCACAAATCAAACAACGCACCTACGCGAAAGAGTACAGTCACAGTACTGTAGCAGGTCAACGACACACTGAATGACTACGAATCAAAACGAACAGTAACAAGTGGGTCAGGCCGGCAACCTGGTGATGGATGACAGTAGTGTAGCCAATAACTGCACTGTGAGATGGTGACTTCGTCATCCCAATAATGTTCTGTTCATTGCCACTGAAACAGACAGTTGCGTAGACTGTTCTACTCAACTACGACAATGAAACTTAACAATTCAATTCGGTATTACTCTAGTAAACTATTTATAATCAATTATTATATTAGCTTAAATGATATTGATATATTTCAGGGCTATATGATACTAAAATAAAACTCTATAAATCAGTGCTATATTGCAGAAGGTGCGCTATATTGCATTATAAAGAAAATGCCGTTGTTAAATGCTATACGAAAGTTGCGATAAAAGGAGAACATCATATTTCAAATTGTATTGCACTAAAATGAAAATTGTTGTAAAATATTATAATCTGATGCTTTATTACCCTAAGAATGCTAAAAACTAATACTATATTATACTTGAAAGAAAAAACTGTAGTTCAGTTTTATGTTATAATAAAACGTGGCCACTGTAATTTAATCACTTTACCTGATCTAAATTATTTCTTATTCATATCAGCATATATATCCCACCAATAAAGTTTTATAAAAAAATTGTTTGAAAACATTTTGCCCAACTTTTACAGTTAAGTCGGAAATATTCTTTTCTAGACATTCTGCGCTTTTATAGGAACAGTATTGAATTCAGTTCAAAATGCAAATTCAACAAAATTCATTTTTTTATTCTAAATAAGATTTTCAGTTTCACGATTCTACATTCATAAATCGAATTTTGAATCTGATGTGGAAATTATTTAAAAATTACATTTAATACTTAAAATCTGTAACACAAGCTATTTATTTTGATGAATACAATGTCATAGTTTACATTTCATTTAAAGAATTTTCTGCTGTTCATAATGTAAAAACATTATAAAATGGAGTTAAACAAATTAATAAGAAGTGCTTGTACTATCGTTAACTTATTTTTTCCTAGATTCAGTAACATGAAAAAATAGTAGGAATGAATAGTAATTTTTCAGGCTCAGAAAACCTAGAAATATTAAGATTAAAAATATCACCTATTGTAAATCTTGCTGATGAAGTTTCAAAGTTGCGAACCATAAAAGTGTATGGTGGAATTATTTGCTCGAGAGTATATCTTCTTAATGTTAATAAGAAAATAAATGAAGTAAAAAGAGAAAGGGTATTGCAGGGAAAACTCACTTGGTAGGAATACAGAACCGCAATTGTGGTTTCAATAAGTGCCTTGTCCTTCCAAAGAGTTGCAGGAGTTGTCGTATCTAATCCCATTCTTTGAGCTACTTCCTAAAAAAAAAAAAAAATGTACTCACATTTGTAAGTTCATATGAAGTATAAAAGTATAATAATAAATATTCGTAATAATGTAACACAATAACGCTGTCTAAAATCGCATTTACAGTTCGTGGTTATTATCTTCCACAAACAATTATATCTTCATTATGAGTTATTGCCTTAGACAAGTGGCATTCATTATCGATTTCATTTGTCCAAGGCAGCTTGTTCCATTATATTCTCAAGGATACCGATTAACTTTCAGAGGTGGTCTTCTCGAAATGGCTTACTGTATTTAAATTATTGATGTTTTCAAATGAATCCATTCCAATGTAATTTCGATATTTTAGTTCTCTGTTAAATTACACATTATTTTCATTACGGAATTAACTGTTAGATGGTACAGGGTGATTCAGCAAATCGGTTACAAATTTTCAGAAGAGATAGAGATACCTAGACAATTGAAAATCACATAGCAGTGCATGGTCGGAAAGACAGTCCTTGAGTGGTAGTGACGACACAAGAAATGAGGAAGACGAACAAAGTCAGGAAACATGTTTATTAGTACAGCAAAAATCAAGAAGTAAGAACAAAAATAGAAAACGATCGCCATCAAAGAAGGTGTTCGAAATTACAATTCCGGACCCTGATGCAGGTCTCATATCTCTGGCACATGGAAGATCTGATGCCCAGACATCCCCAGTAGTTGCCATGATGCGTGCAACAAGTTCCTCAGCACTTCTAACTGAGGTTTCGTAGACCAGTGTCTTGACATATCCTCCATTATAGTCAATGAAAATGAGGTCTGGCGATCTTGCTGGCCAATGCATCGGACCACCCCTGCTGATCCCGTGTTGAGAATACGTTTTGAATGTAATTTCGAACACCTTCTTTGGTGATGATCGTCTATTTTTGTTCTTATTTCTTGGTTTTTGCTGCAAAGCAAAATAAGCATATACTCTCACCCTGTCCGTGTCCTTCCTATCTTGTGTTTTGTGGCGTCACCACTGGGCGAGGAAAGCATTTCATATTATGCTTTGCTATATGTTTTCCATCATCTAGGTGTACTCCATCTCTTCTGAAAGTTTATAACCGATTTGTTGCAACACCCTGTATATGTAAAAAGACCACCTGTTGGTCATTATACATGTAAAACACGTATCATTAAACTGATAAAAACTGGTAACAGATGTACTAGTAAAGATCTTCAAGTAATCCGTATTAGTACAGCGTTGATCCTTTAGTGTATCCCATGACCAACCTCTATACTGATCATTGAATCGCTACTGTGGAACAGGAAGCTTAAATGAGTTACAAATGACAATGTCTATACAACAGATATAATTACCTCGGAAATATTATATCTATGTTGATCACAAAAATTTCTTGCTCCAACTTCTGTAGCCATGTACCATCCATTGAAAGGTGCTGCTGTGTATGCTATACCACCAACGTCTAGCATCATGTCTGCCACTGCTGGAAGAGCATACCACTTTAGTCCTAGTTCTGAAAACCACTCATACTTTGGGTGTTCTAATGGTATCATCAGGATAAGATCCTCTGGAATCTCATAAAATTTTGGCTCTTCTCCTGGTCCTGAAAGAACCCATGGCAAGACATCAAAGCGGCCGCCTTTTCCCTTCCATCCTAAGCGCTGGCAAATCTGCAAATATAAATTGGCCCATTTATAATTATTTGCTGATTGATTTATTAGCTTACGGCAATTGTTATCATCTTAGAAGCGTGTTTCATATTCTTTCTTTATAATTTTTGGAAATAATAAGAACAAAGAAAAACATTTTGTAGGACGACGGAGAAATTTATACTATATAACGTAATGAAATAATAAAGAATCTTTCCTTTTTTTTCAAATTTTACAATAAAATATATTATTATGTGAAAGGTGGTATGCATAGCAATCCATATGGTACTGGAATTATAGCATATGTTAGAGACATTTCTAAATTTTATACACTTTAAGTTACATGATCGCACTGAGTTACGTGTATAATTTAAGGTACAGTCTATTTTCCTGGTTTACTTTGCGCACAAATAATAATTAAAAAGTAAAGTAATAAATTCTTAGATGTTCCAGATTTAAAATCAATTCATCTTGAGGGCATTTCTTAGCTTTCTCATTTTCATGAACGATTCAGTAGTGTTTGATAAAATACTGAGGTATGTTGACAGCATACATCATGCACATAATGTAATTGAGTGAGGTTTTCTTACTTTTACTATCTACCTAAGAGATAAATTTCCGAGATTATACACTAGTTTCCAAACATTAAGGAAAATCACAGAAATAGCGGTAACCTGTCCAAAAATAAGACAATTCGTTATAAGGTATATATCCCACTTTCCTAGTGTGCCTTCGTGGTGTAGTGGTTCTGCACACTGGGCCGGTATTCCAGAGGTCCGAGGTTCAATTCCCGGTGAACGCTTTGTTAATTTTTCATCTTTTCTGCTTCCAAAAAATTTCTAATATCTCTATAGTGGCGCCCGAAGTAAAGGGGTTGTGGATGATGACTATCCACACCCAAAATTTGGCGACTAGGTCCCCTAAAACCCTAGTCGCTCTTTAAAAAGGGGGGTATATAAGGCATATCTCCCTAGCGTGCCTTCGTGGTGTAGTGGTTCTGCACACTGGGCCGTTATTCCAAAGGTCCGCCGTTCGATTCCCGGAGAAGGCTTTGTTATTTTTTTATCTTTCCTACTTCCAAAATAATTGTAATGTCTCTACATCGCATAAAATTTGAATATGTTGTCAAATAAGAGTTGTTGAGTAAAACTGCAGTATGCGAATTAGCGGCGCTGCAATCGGAATATGCCATTTGCGAGGAACATAAAATTGCACATTCGAGAGAAAGCCTGTTAATTTCGCTGTGATACTGAGATAGGAAATTTGGGATAGCGAAATTGTAACAATGACCTCCAGACATCATTTGCCGGAAGAACTGCGATTGAGTTATTGGGAGACTAGAAGCAGGATAAAGTTAGACAGAAGTTGCCAAATGGCTAAATCTGACTCTACTGTGGTTCTGCTAACAATTTCTAATCACAGATTCGGCATCCAAGAGGTCGGCCAAGGACGGCCAGCCGCTACGAGGAGAGCCGATGACTAATATTTATTGTTATGCGCACGAAGGAGTAGAACCGCATCTCCAACTCGGCTCAGATTCTCCCTTACTGCAGCCACCAGAGGTTTGATGTCAACGTCAACTGTGCGTAAAAGGCTTCATGAAGGAGACCTGTACGTGAGGGGACCAGCCATTTGAGTGCTTCTCACGTCACGTCGTAGAAGGAAACGTTTGATGTGGACAAGTCAAAATATGCGATGGACTGCTGATCAGTGGAGGGTTGTTCTCTTCATGGATTAGTACAGGATTAGCCTCCAGAGCGATAGTAGGCGTTATTTGATTTGGAGAGAACATGGGACCCGCTACCATCCATCAAACATTCGTGAAAGAGACGCATACGGAGGCATCTCTTTCACGAATGATGTTTGAGGTGATGTTTGTGTTTGGGGTAGTATCTTTTTGGGTGGACGCACAGACTTCCATGTCTTTCCACGAGGAGCTCTGAATGTTCAGGCCTATAGAGATGATACCTTTGATGCTTATGTGCGGTCTTATGCTAGGGCAACAGGTGATGACTTCCTGCCACAGGACGACAAAGTTAAACCGCAAAGGTCGTGAATGATTATTTTCAGCAGCAAATAATTCATCACATGGAGTGGCCAACTCGATCACCGGGAGCTGAATCCTATCGAGCACGTTTGGGATGCTTTAGGAAAACTTATAGCTGCTCTCAGTCCTCCTCTTCAGACCTTTGACACGCTTGCAAGTGCTTTGAAAGAGCAATGGCTCTCCCTTCTTACGGAACAGATAGACCGTATAATTGATAGATTGAAAGTAATTTTCCTACACCAAATTGACACAGCCGATTTATTCATTTTATAGATATTCTAATTTCTATAACACCATAATTGTCTCGAATTTCTTCTCATGTAATTTTATACCTTACTATGCGTTGTATACTAGTTTTAGTTTCATTATATTATTATACTCATTATATTATTATATTATTATATATTTCATTATTTCATTATAGTTTCATTATATTATTATATATTATTATACTAGTTTTAGTTTCATTTCTTTGTTTAGTTTCATTAAATTCTACATGTAACTTTTCGAGTAATCGTCATTTTCGTGATTTTTCCTCAATTAATGATAACCAGTGTAATTTAATGTCAGTATATGCACAGATGAGAAGAAACTCTGCATTATATATCTATTGTCTATGCCTCGTTGTTTTACACACTGGGTCTACATTGTGTTAGGATATAATTTTTAAAACAAATTGCGTATTGCTGGTGTTGTTCACATTTATTACCATCCATTTACGTGCTATTATAGTTTGAAATGAAAAGTAGAGATAATGAGTTAAAGGAATCATTCTTAACTTCTTTTTACTTCAGGAAATTCCAACAGAATTCCACCAGTCTCATTTTTAAATTTTGAATGACCTGAACCAGATGCTAAAGATCAGCGGTCGTCAACCCTTACAACTTCAAGAACCACTACATATATAATTTTATATTTGCCGGACCACTAATATGAGTAAAAAAAAAAAAAAAAAAAAAAAAAAAAAACCCTTAAATCAATGAAACATATTAATACACAAAAACAATATTCAACTTTCCAATACATGCAATTCTAATTTTCATTTGTTAATATAATTTTCGAAACATTTGATGTTCAGAAGCATGCCTTTATGCAAATTCAGGCTACGGCCCTGATTATGAGTAATAGCTGAAAAACTATTAACATCTCACTGATACACATATTTCGTTCACATTGAAAAATTATATGAAAAGTACAAAAATCTTACCTTCCTGTACAGAAAGCCTCACATTTCCATATCACTGAGAAGGAACTTCACGAAAAGCAAGAACGAACCAGCAAACGCAAAGTAATATCAATAAACTGAAAGTACTAATAAACTGAAAGCCGCCAAATTTTAATTATTGTATACACAATAATCATCGGTTACTCAGCAATGGCGCCATCGATCAACAGTTATACAAAACAAAAGCGAAAACTTCCACTGTGCAATTATAAACAAGAACGCAGATGGTTCTCATAAAAATCAAGTTGCCTGTTGAGAAAAACTGTGTTATTAACGACCACAATAGCATATGTTTGTAATTCAAAAGGAAAGAGAATTCCAGTTCGCGCTATTATTGATAACAGCAGCATATCCACGGATGCCAACTCTCACTTTCAAATGCCGCTAGATACACCTGCAAAAGTAGCTAAAGTCGCTAAATTCAAAGGAATTTCGCTAAAAGTAGTAGCTAAAATTAAAAAAAAAAGTATAATTCATATTCCATGATAGGTTTTGCTACCCGTCATTTTTTAGTCACAATTTTTCTGCGGGCCATCAAAACGATTTCACGGACCACCGGTTGGCGACCGCTGCTATAGATGGTAAAGTTATAAATTAAAAAGCAAAACTGATTTTGATAATTACTCACTCTCGTGAAGTGTAGTCTTCCGGGATCTCCAACGACGGTTCCGTCAGACTGCAAGTATCCAGCGAAATTAACTAATTGAGGATTCCACAAACGAAAATCTTCCCTGCCCGGCATTCGTGGAGGAAATACAGTGATCATAGACCTATATACAAATGAGTACATAAAGTTATACCCATTATAAAAGTAATTTTATATTTAAATAATTTGCCATTAAAAATAGTGACAGTAATAACTCTCACTAAATTATTATATTAAATCTTTGGAGGGCTCTGTATAGGAGAGAATGAGTTGTAAGACATCCAACTGGGAAAAGACTCTCATTTGTGTGACTTATGCGAAGGCTAAGAAAAAGTCCATTCAACTAATCTCCTTGAGTTGAATGGACGCTTTCTTAGAGTGCCTTCGTGGTGCAGTGGTCTGTACGCTGGGCGTGTATTCCAGAGGTCTGTGGTTTGATTCCCGGCGAGGCGTTGCTCTGTTTTCATCTTGCCTGCTTCCAAAAATTGCCTAATGTCTCTACAGTGGCGCCCGAACTAAAAAGGGTGGTGGATTATGATTCTCCACACCTAGGATTGGCGACTGGGTCTCCTAAAAATCCCAGTCGCCCTTTAAAAGGGGGAGTATATAGGGTATTTATTCCTCTTTCTTAGCATGTCTTCGTGGTGTGGTGGTCTGCACGCTCGGGGCGTATTCCAGATGTCCGCGGTTCGATTCCCGTCGAAGGCGTTGCTCATTTTTCATCTTTCATGCTTAAAAAAAATCCTAATTTCTCTACAAGACATATGGATTTATTTGTTTCTTTTGACAAATTCACTGAAAGGCTGAAACTAAACCACAGCTGTAATTTCAAATAAAAATTATTAATGCTTGTAGCATCAGGGGAAATTGTCATTCTTATCCTTCGTCTTGCATTATTTTAAATCATTTATAAATACATATCTTCGGTTTTGAAGTAATTCGTACTTGCATAATATACTTCTTACATCTGCTTCCCTGTTGACATGATAGGAGGGTGGGTAGTTGCCATAGCCTTAGGCTGGGCTTAAATTTCGGAGAGAGAAATGGTACTTGTAAATGAATACTTTCTTCGCGGTATGGGGACACTTAAAATACCGAAGAACAGAAAATCTTTAGAGAAGTTAGTGGTAAGAGACTAGAGATGGAACATCCTCAGATGTGTATCTTAGAGGCGTTTCATCATATTGTGGCGGAGGGTGTCAAACTTATACTTTCACCTGAAATGAGATTAAGACGGCCAAGACCGAAGCCCTTCTCTTCTTGGCTGTGATGAATTCGCACACCTGAATCAGACTATGTTTAAATTTGATTAAGACAGGATTAAGACAAAGTAGAGTGCAATGAGGAAAACCACTGGCGGTACATTTCCTAAGAGCCATCGTTAGTTCAATAAATAAAGGTGATTTAAATAATAAAATGTTAATTCACATGTCAAAGATCTCTTTGTCACAACATTTCTTGTGTAGATCTTTCCATCATTTTTAAGCTCGCCTTGAAGAGGACCATCCATTATTTTTAATTTTACACCGTTCTTTCGCGAACTCTTGAACAGGCAGCATAAAGTTGACTCTGTCCAAATGCAGGCTCAGGTAAAAAAATGCCAACACGCTTAAGCGTTTGGCCGTGAGATTTATGGATGGTCATAGCAAAGGCAAGTTTTACAGGAAATTGTCTACGTCTCAGTTGAAACGGCAACCCTGTGCCGTGGCAACTTCACCCCATTGGCTAGTACAGTTACGCAAGCAACCAATAAACTATCGGCGACAAACAGACACTTAGGCCGCATATAATAAAGATATTTATTTATTTCATTTCATTTGTTTTTTCATTTTATTTGTTTATTTGTTGCCGGTTTTTGCCGGTTGCATATTTTCGAATTCTATTATATACAGATGTTAAATTTATTTATTAAATGTTAAATGCACGTGCTCTTGTATTTTTAATTTTTCCGGCTTAGGTTTCTCATAATATTCGTCCCGCGCTGCACTGCACGCGGAATAAAACAATTCACAGCTACGCAAGCAACCAATAAACTATCGGCGACAAACACTTAAGCCGCTTATATATATATAAATAGAATTGTTTTATTTTACCTTGCAATGCAGCGCGTGTTAAATTTTAAGTGAAAGTTACGCTGAAAAAGTAAAAATGTAAGAGTACGTGCATTTAACACTGAGCAAATGGATATCTCTTTAATTTGTATTGAAACTGAATAAATGTAATTGACTACTGTGTTAGCTGTAACCGTGATTCCATCCTCTTGTTGGTTTCCAGAAATCTCGAGAAACAAAGAAAATTACTAGAACTCCCTCGCGACCTATTGAGAGCTTTAAAAAGCCGGAGAGAGACATCTCAGTTCAGTTGCTCAGTTACTGTTATTGCGAGTAGTTGTTTAGTTAGCTGTTGTGATTTTTTAGAGATCGGATTAGCTTTCTCTTTGCATTCCGTTGTATTTTAACATTTTTAGTAGTTTAAAGTATAGCTACTGAATATATTGCGTGATATTGTACGAATATCTGTAGAGAAAATTCCAGCGTTCCAGAAATATTTCTTGTGATAAGAATGAATTTTATTAACCTTTTATCGGATTTGTGCATTCAATCTATTACGAAACCGTACGCAAGCAACAATATATATAACAAGAATATTTAAAGATGATTTTAGTAAACTCTTAGAAACACAGGATATTATAGTTGAAACTAATTCAGAAGTTTAAAATTAACTTTCGAAAACATTTAATGACTTATTCGAAACTTCCTTTTTATTAAAGAGTGAACGTCAGGATATATATATATATATATATATATATTGTAATAATAAAATTCCATAGTCAAGAATACACTTAGAATTTCTAACCGTATGTTCTTTTCATTTTTTAATGGCGACGGTCTCTATTTTGAAAGTACGTGGGAATTAAATGCACAGGCCCCGTAGGTCAAGTTGTTTTTCCGCCTTTTCTACACGTACAGTTATGGAATGTTCTGGAAATATTTAAAGGCGAAGCTGGAATGGCTGACGAGGCTGATGTCATTTCTTGGGAAGGCTCCGCCTTTCCAGGAGGCTATAAAGGACTCGCAAAAGGAATGTCGGGGTCTTTTCTTGAATATAACGATGCAGTAAACTTAATACAAAAAGTTATTAGTAGTTCTTTTTTATTTACTCCGGAGATCTTAATTTTTGTAATTTCTCCTGAATAATAATAAATGGATCCTTGTTTTTTAAACTTATCGTCTGATAATTTCAGCTACGACTACATCTGTGATTCTTCACCAATCTATTTATTCCGGGCAAAAGCTGGTACATCACATATATATATAATTAAAGAAAGGAGAACAAACTAAAAAAGAGCTTTGTGATCAAGTTTCAATTTTATGTTTTGATGAAACGCGATATAGCTGTATTCGAAAATCATTATGTATTTCCCCTGAAGAGTCATTAATGAGATTCGAATTGGGCTAATTTACCATTTACCGCTTTTTTGTTTTTTGTATTTTTGCTTATTTCTTATATCATAATTGTATTTTTATTCAAATGTTTAAAACTTGTCTTAACTTTAATCAACATATTACTTCCAATTTGTTTTGAGTTTTAAATACGCTTTTTATTTGTAGGTATTCTAGTGATAATTTCGTTTATTTTGTGTTTACACTTTTAATTGTACTTTATTTTACTTATATTAAAAAATTTTTTCACCGGAGCCACAGTATCACAGCAATTTTAAGCGGAAGCATTAAGAATATATATATATATATAAGGTAAAAAGAAAATTCTTATATTCTTCTAATATATATATAATCTGAAAGGTTTCAGATTTTAAATTAAGTCCAAAGGGCTGTTTTTTTTTAACATTTCGTCTGTTTATTTATTAAATATCACGTTCTTCGCATTTAAACCATAAAATTCAGTTCAACAGCAATATCCCAAAATAGTTTTAAATTGAGCATATCCGTTAGAATTTCCGATACGCAGTCTCACGCGTTGGAGACAAAAATGTTTTTTCTCTACAATGTTGCCATTACTCGCTTTGAAATCCTTGAGTTTGTTAATCAAAAATTCATTAAAAATATACAAAATAGGAAATCGACAATAAAACAAATTCCAAATTTCAAATTTGGGCTTCCACATGCCCATGTTCTCAGCAGGATTACGTCATTCAAAATTGGATGGCTCTGTGTACCGTTGTTTTATCACAATGCAAGAAATATGCATAAATTTTTTCAGATTTTTCATTGTTTAATTTCTTCAAATATAATGCAGGACTCTAACATTGGGTGGCAACAGTTTGAAAAGTGAAACGGACATTTATAGTGAACCAACGCAAAATCGCAAAGCGAAAACAATAGTCCTTCAGGGACAAAAAGCCCCTTTGGACTAAAATAAAATTCAAGCGTAATAAAAGCAAAGTTTCAGTTTTCTCCAAACGAAAGCCAAAAGTATTTTCATTACCGGAGATAAAAAAAGAAAATGCGTTTGAAGGTTCTATTTACGAAAAAGCCCTGCTAATCTACAGTTAATCTCAAACATAACAGCATAAATCGTTGCGGTGGGGAGAAGGCCACATTTCGAAGAATAAAAACTGTGTCACTATGACAGCTCAGCATGATATAAAGCCTCGTCGTGGGTATATTTGCTTAATATATAGGACAAGCTCAATGCGAAGGGAGAGTGGTGATTGAATGTTGAATTCATATCATAACTAGCCGTAGATCGTTTCATGATGAACGTTCTTGGAAAACCTGCGTGATGTTACAATAGAGGCAACCTACTTTTACCTCATGTATGAGGAATTCCATTTTGGAATATCTTTTGAAAGCTGAGCAAATTACTAAGACAACGTCTTCGTGATAATTTGGGTTGTATAGTAAACATACGAGGCTGTTAAATGGACAAAAATAGTTTTGACGAATTGTTTTATTACTTATAAACTATTTAAATAATTTAGTGACAGCATTCAATTACGTATATGTATAGTAATGAAAAATATTTGTTTTTATCATCAGAATGAAAACCTGGAAAAAGGAAGTTCATTGTTTAGCGTATTTTCTGAAAGCGTATAGTAATCCGAATTCCATTTTTTAAATGGTTCAGGTACTTAAATGAAGCTTCAACAAAGGACTTTCCTGTACGAGTAAGAAATAATCTAAGAACTGCGGGAATAACTGCATGGTATGTTTTAATTTTTTTGCATTAATTATTGTATTATTTTTTAATGTACTATTATACTACTATGTCATAAATTTTATTTTATAAAGGATTTATATTATTTAATATATATTTATTATGCGTTAAATAGTATAAACACATAATAAATATGTTAACATTATTTTAACACAGAATTTTATTTTTGTAAGAAGTTTATTGGTACTCTAATTCCCAGGCATTCATATGTGTTATATATTTTATCATTTCACTGAGAATACGTAAGTTACGACGTAATTTCTGTTTCAATATAAAACTTCATTGTCTTTTCCAACTGCGTACTCGAATGATCTGACATTTGCAATATAATACTTAACATATTATTTCTTCCTACAAGTGCTATTTTTACTGTGTGAAATGGCAACAAAACAAAGTAGCTTTTAAAAAAATTAATTAAGAAAACATGTATTAAAATGTTATAATTCCATTACACAAATGGAAGACTGTTATCAAATAAATTACGTCAAAATATTTTGCATTAAAGTTTGTAGAGACATTAGGTTTTTCTTTTTTTTATGCGGCATACGTGAAAAATGAGCAATTTCCTCGCCGAGACTCGAACCTAGGACTTCTGGAATACGCGCCGAGCGTGCTGACCATTACGCCACGAAGGCATACTAAGAAGGCGGGAGAAATACTTTATATACTCCCCCTTTTAAAGGGCGACTGGGGATTAGGAGACCCAACTGCCAAATCCTGGTGTTGGAGAATCATCATCCACCACCTTTTTTAGTTCGGGCACCACTGTAGAGACATTAGGTTTTTTTATGCGAGAGATGTGAAAAATGAGCAATGCCCTCGCCGGGACTCAAACCTCGGACCTCTCGAAGGTGCGCCGAGTGTGCTGACCACTACACCACGAAGGCATACTAAGAAGACAGGAGAAATACCTTATACGTTTTAAATTTATATTTAAAACTCTAAATTGATTGCCCTGATCAAAATAGAATTCATTTTTACACTCTAATGAAATGCAGGAGATATTTTTATCATTTTGCTTACTTAATATTAAAGTTGAATTAAAATGCTGAGTTTTTATTTTTTTAAGGAATAAGGAATTTATTTACTTATTTTTTAAATTTTATAATAAAAACATTGGAAGACATAAGATTTCTACGATTTAAAGACATATCTTTCTCATGCAATATACAAACGGAATTAATTATAAGAATTATAAAATGATTTTATTTTAGAAATTAAATAAGCATTTACGGAAAAAGTGTAATTTAAAAAAAAATGCCGGCCAGCCGATATATTGGTTAGTGACCCTTACTGCCGTAGCGATGGGCCCGGGTTCAAATCCCGGAGAAAGCATGGTTATAACTAACTGTCCATCCCTTCACAGAAGGCAACGGTAGCCACCTCTTAGGTGTTTCCATATGAACGAAATTGCACCACTTCCGGCCCTTGTAGTGGCGCAAGGCTAATGGCTATTAAATAAAGCACACGGCTGTTAAATAAACAAATAAATAAAAAATAAGTCTATAATTACTGTAAGAAATTTTCAAGCACTTATTAAGTAGCAGTTGATAAAAATGAATAAATCAAACAGTTAAAAAGCGAAAACTTTTCACCAAGAGGACAAAAAGGATTTTCGCTTGAAGAAATACTTCCTTTGGCCTTTCTGGATGAATAACCAACAGAATTTTGAGGAATTTATTGAGATAATTAGTGTCAGAAATCATTGTAAGATCAACTGAAATCAATATCCTTTGACTTACTTAAGATTACCGTCATTTGTGGCGTGCTTCATGTGTCTGCACAGAGCTTCGAACATTTCTGCCGTAGACGTGATATTCCTACAGTCTTGAACTTCCAGCTTATTCCATTGGATTCTTCCGATGCATCTTGAAGCATTTCTCCAGGCCAGCTTAGCTCCAAAAACCAGTTCTTCATAACTCAAAAAGTAAGTACCAGTTTTGGCTACCTCGTGTTTTATTTCATTCATTCGATTTTGAAAATCATCATCTGAGGAGCTGTTGGAATAAAGCGTTCGTCGTATGAAATAGTACTAAAATTATAATATATTAAATAAATATAACATACACTAGGATAATAAATTGAGATATAAATATACATTATAAAAAATTCTGAAAGTTTTTATACTTTATATAACACCCAAAGGTTTTTTTTTTTTAACGTTTTGTGTGTTACTTATTATATATCATGTTCTTCGCACTTAAACCATAAAATTCAATTCAGCAGCAATATCACAAAGTAATTTAAAAAGAGCATATCTTTGGAATTTCCGATGCACATTCTCTCACGCTGGAGATCAAAATGTTTTTTGGTCCAAAGGGACTTTGTCCCTGAGGGACTATTGTTTTAATCTTGTGATTTTGCGTTGAATCACTCTGAATGTCCGTTTCACTTTTCAAACTGTTGCCACTCAATATTATCGTCCTGTATTATATTTGAAGAAATTAAAAAAATGAGAGCCTGATAAATGTATTTATGTTCCTCGCATTATGATAAAACAACGGTACCTACAGTCATCCAATTTTGGATTAATACTACTGCGAATTCAATTTTGAATTAATCTTTCTACACATATCCGTAATCCTGCTGTGAATATGGGCATCTGGAAACCCAAATTTGAAATTCGGAATTTGTTTTATTATCGATTTCATATTTTGTAACACTTCAACGAATTTTGATTAAAAAACTAAACGATTTCAAAGCAAGGAATGGCTATGTGGTACAGAAAAAAACATTTTTATCTCCAGCTCGTGAGACTGCCTATCGGAAGTGCTAAAAATATGCTCAATTTAAAATTACTTGCGATATTGCTCTTGAACTGAATTTTGTGGTTTAAGTGCTAAAAACATGATATTTAGATACCGTTGTTTTATCACAACGCGAAAAATATATATACATTTATGCGGATTATTCATTTTTAAATTTCTTTAAATATAACGCAGGGCTCTAACATTTGGTGGCAACAGTTTGAAAAGTGATACGTCGTTTATAGTGATTCGACACAAAATGCCCAAACGAAATTTAATACCCCTTCTGGGCTAATAAATATTAATAATTAGGATATAATATTAATATTAATAATTAAGAGATAAATATACATTAGGATTTTTGAAATTCTGTTTCTTAAAAGTCTTCTCCCTTTTATCAATTTTCGTTACACATGTGTTTAGTGTTTTTATAATTTGCATGTATATTTTTTCTATATAGTACTCTATGAACTTAAGACATAGAAATAATTTAAATATTTATTTTCCTTTGCAAACTTATTCAATCCTTTTCACCACAAACAATAAGAATCTCTATACATAAATCCACAGCGCATTTCCAGGCATCAAGGACTACTGTTTTTAGCAAATTTCAGCAAACTTGCAAAATCATAACTGATTAGTATAACATCGGAACTTTCTTTTCTTGAAACATCAGTTGCTTAAGGGAAGAATTTTGTATATCGTTCGCCTTGATAGCGTTAACTTGTATTTTCATGAATCTGAAAGTTGAGCAGACTAGCAATAAAGTTTCATTACAAAGCAGAAAGAACAGCAAAATATTTGAATAGACTGCTAGTCGAGGTGGAACTCGATGCTTTGATTATAATCCTGTGACAAAGGACAATGATCTGTTCCGGTTAGAGAAATTTCACCTCCACCATAGACGGTGGCAGAAATCTTGATTAAACCCAATGCTGGCAATTATTTTTTATTAGACTGGGATAATTTACGAAGAGTTTGTTCCTGAGGAACAGACGGTGAACTGCATATTTTATAAAACCATAATCTGAAAATTTTCAACGCGTTCAGAAGAACGTAATCGGAAGACATTTCAATGCGTTAGGTTTGAAAAGCTTAACCAAATTGCTAGTTGCTGCTTTACTGCAAATGCGCAATTCAGAAGATTTCGTTTTTGTTGAACAGTTTTTAGCAAAGAAAAAGAAAAAAAAAAAAAAAAAAAAAAAACATTCTTAATGCAATCGTTCTTAAAGTGACTTATCAGTGAGTTAGAAAAATGCTTTTAATGAGTAAATTATGAAATAATGTTTTTCTGACTCTACAACTACGCGTATTTACGAATTTATTTATGATTACAAATTGTAAAAAATTATATATGTTTATTTATGACTGCTTCAGGGCGAAGTTATTTTAATCTAGGAATCTTCTTTTTTTCCCGCGTTTTTTTCTGAATAAGTTTATGTATGTTATGTTATTAGGTATCTCTTTCGCCTTCCTAGTGTGCCATCGTGGTGTAGTGGTCAGCACACTGAGCCGGTATTTCAGAGGTCCATGGTTCGATTCCCGGCGAAGGCGATTGCTCATTTTTCATCTTGCCTGCTTCCAAAAAATCCTAAAGTTTCTACTGTGGCGTCCTAACTAAAAGGGTGTTGGATGAGGTTTCTTCACACCCAGGATTTGGAGATTGGGTGCCCTGAAACCCCAGTCGCCTCTTAAAAAGGAGAGTATATAAGGTATTTCTCCCACTTTCCTAGCGTGCCTTCGTGGTGTAGTGGTCCTGCACGCTGGGTTGGTATTCCAGAGGTCCGTGGTTCTATTCCTGGCAAAGGCGTTGCTAATTTTACATCTGTCCTGCTTCCAAAGGTAAACCTAATGTCTCTACAATGTAAAGTATTTCCAAAGCAGCTATCCAGTCTGTAGTTATAAGTCTCCCCCCGGAGATTGACTCAGGAGAATTCCTGGGAAGTACTGGTTAGGATCTGTACCTAGGCAGTCTCAACCACGAGGGCATAATAACAGACTTCGCGGAAGGCTTGAGGGCTCTCGGGACAGAATAAGGCTCGGCAGGAGCCATACTGGTACTGCCCTTGCTCTGTGGGTAGACTGTTTTATGTGCGGTACGGCAATCAATTCTGAAAGGTAACATAGCTAGGTCGGAAGTGGTCCTGTCACGCAGAGTTGTAGTTATAAGTCATACCACAGATTCCCAGATTATTTCAGAAATAAGATAAACCTTGAACCTTTCTTTATCAATACAACAAGACAATCGTTTTTCAATGGATCCCTTCACATGTAGGTATCGACTGTAACGAAAAGGCAGACTCACTAGCCAAGAGAGGAACACTTGAGCCACAAGACAGCAAATGTGTTGACAGTCCCTCTGGAAGAAAATCTCGTCCGAAACGCCGATCGGCTTCGGTCTCTTTCAATGAATCATACGTCATATTTCATGAATTTCAAGAGAATTATAGTTCCCGTTTTCTCTTTCGCGCGACAAAAAATTTTAATACTTACCGGTATACGTTACAACGGAGCACGTGAACAAAATCCCAAAATTTTACGATATGCATTAAAGAATGCAAAAGCGGACGGAAACTTCCATACCCTTGCTGTATCGTATATAAGCAAAGTTTAAAACCTGTGAAAGGTTTTAATAACTTTTAAAGCTTTAAACTTTTAAAGCTTAAATAACTCCTCCAGAGTTATTTAAAACCTGTGAAAGGTTTTAATAACTTTTAAAGCTTTTAAATAACTCCTCCAGAGTTATTTAAAAAGCATAATTGTGAGAAATTAATAGATACTCTTATATCCGACCAGGCAGCAAAATCAACAGGCAAATTCTGGGTTAACATTCAATACAGATTGGAAAACGTTCTGTCAAAGACCCTGTAAAGAGGCTGAGGCAAAATTCAGACTGCAAACAGGTCACGATTGCATGGGACATCATCTTAATAAAATTTGAATCCTCCCATCTAGTTATGTGCCAAATTTGCAAATCGGACATCATAAAAGCAGAGTATCTTGTTATATGCCCAGAACTAGATAAAGAGTCTCAGAAATGTGGTGAGATAAAAGCAAACCATATTGGAATGCCAGAACGTTCATGAACTCTCTGTAAAGACTTTATCTCTCATGTTTCTTTCCTTGTTTCTTAAATTTTGATCTTTTTATTTTTATTCCCATGTTCATTTGTTCGATTCTTACTTTAAATGTTTTCTTTTTATTTTATATCATTGTTCTTGTCTGACTGAGCTATTTTATATGTATGAATTTATTATTCCAATAAAGACGTATGTAACAACAACAATTTATGCATGTGGATCGAGACAAATCACAACTATAAGCATGTTTGTTCACGAAATTAAAATTTTTGATAAACACTGACTAAATGGCGTGATTTGCCGATTTCTTTGTCTTATGGTTCTTTTTGTTAAGTATAATGACAATGAATTGAAAATTCTATAAATTCGTGTTCAATATTAAGGCTAGATAATAGATGGAAAGACATTTAAAACTGCGGACCAAAAAATTAAATTTTTCTCCATATGGCTTTCTTAAATTTACAATGGCTATTGATACGAGAATAATAACCAATTTTACTTTTTATGGTGCTATATTTAGAGTTATACTTTGAGTGCACAGATATTAAATTTATGTATGAGTTTTCATAGATAAATTTAAAATTGCAAAAATCATAACACTATAAAATTTTAAAAGATAACGAGTGGGTTTCAGAAATAATCCGAAATCTAAACTCATGCTAATAGAAATTTGATTTCGACAAACCACATCCAAATACAGCTGAACAGAAGGAAACTCCCTTTGTTGTTATTAACGTTAAATCATTTCCACTTATCACATACTTTAAAAAAAAATCAAAGTTTTATAGCTTATAAAGAAACCGAAATGCTGTTAAGATTTAAATTACTTCCTTTTTCTATGCTTTTCGTTAATCATAACGATTAATAATTTCAATAATTATAACAATATTATCCGTACTATTTGGTTAATTAAAGCTTCGTACTCTTTCGTTAATTATAACGATATTATTCGTGTTCTTTCGTTAATTATAGCGATATTATTCGTGTTCTTTCGTTAATTAAAGTTTCGTAATATTTCGTTAATTATCGTAATTCGTAATCTTTCTTTAATTAATTTCGTAGTCTTTCGTTAATCATCGTAATTTAATTTCGTATATTAGTTATATTTCGTTAATAATACTCGTTATTCGTATTCTTTTTTAACACGTTATTTCGTACCTTCCGTTAATTTCGCACTCTTTCGATAATTTCTTTGATTCGTTATTACATTTCAATATAGTTGAAGATATATTTTATGACAAAAATGCATGAATTATTATTTTGCGTTTTAACACTAATTATACTATTATAATGCTAATTATACTATGAAAGCACGCATTATTACACTTTATATACCATCCGAAATAGTAAACTGATTTTAAATAAAAACTCACTTTTTCAAAAATGCAAAGTATTGCTTTTGGAAGTTGAAGGCTTCTTCTAGAACTTCCTCTTCTGGCCTGTAACCAGGTGCTTGCGATTGACCACTCATCAGTGCCCCTTTGCACGACTTTTCGGAACATTTGATAGGCTGTAAAAATGCAATTATTATTAGAAATAACTACTGATATTCTAAAGCATATCTGATGTCTTTTAATGTACGGCAATATAAAACTCAAAAATAGTAAGTCATGTTGACTATGCGTTATCCTTCATGAGCTAGTTTTAAATTTTGATAAAAATACAACTAATGTTACCAAGTAGTGACGAAAATGTATTAAAAAAATACTTTTTATTTATTTTTTGATGAAAAGGACTTTTACTTAGGATATATATTAGATTTATATATAGCATTGTTCTATCATAGGTATTTTGACACAAAATCGGACTTTTTCTGAAATAATTCAAATTATGCCTAAATATTAAAGTTTGAAATTTTTGGTGAGAAATTTATGTAGAAATTAAAAAAAATTATCTCGGCACATTTATTTCAACTTATTTGACTTTGCAAAATTCTTAATTTACAGGAACCTATTTTACTTTCCTTTTTTTTCATTGTACACGAGCAGAAAAAAGGTCATTGTTCATAATTTCAAATAAATTTAACAAAGTTGAGTAAACCGCATTTGGATTTATTATCGCTTATAACGAATATGCCAAATTTCAAAACACGCCAATATGTAAATTCACGTATACCTTAGGAAATTTTGAATAAAATACTTTAATTTTTTGTATGTATACCTAGAAATACATCTACTTTAAGATGATGGTAAAATGTTTATAGTTTATAATTCAAAATGTTTTTCGAAAAATTTATAAAAATTATTTAAAAATAAATCATAAAAATGGACGAATTTTATTTGGGATGAATCTAAATTTCGAAATGTGAAAGGAAGAATCAAATGAGTTTAATAAATATATACCAAATTCAATTAACATGGAGGAGCTAAAATTTGAGAGCTAATTTTTTAAAAACTACTCGTGCTATTTTTACAAAGCTTGGCAGTTTGTCATAATGTGAGCCATAGGATGGAATCGAAATATGGAAAAAAATTTGGTATGTTATTTCAGAAAAAGTCCAATTTTGTGTCAAAATACGTATGTTAGAACAATGCTATATATAAATCTAACATATATCCTAAGTTGCGCTTTCGAGATATGGAAAACGCAAGCTTAATTTCGACCATCGGTCCAGTAGAACGGCAGATGTAGAACTGTCCCCCATTTTTTTGGTGCAAAGTGTCCGTGTTTTTCTATTTTTTTACATAGTGAAATTTTAAAACATTCACATATTTAAATAAATTTTGAAAACAAATACTGTGCTTTATTAGAACTAAAATCACTGAGGTTTCAAAGTTTTAATAGAAATAATTCGTAAAATTTTGCTATATAGTGTTGTCTTTTGAGTTTATTCATATTAGGGCACATTTACTCATAGCTTTCATTATGAAAACCATAATAAAAACTGTCATTGAATGGTTGATGAAGACATCGAATGTGTTTCAGAGATGTTCAAAACATTAAACTCATAATATTGAAAATTTTCATAATTGTCGGAATACTTCATTTTTATTAAGGCAATAGACGGAATAAAAATATACATAGAAAAAATGGCAAAAAAGGGCAATAGAAGGAATAAAAATATACATTATAGATAGAAAAATAACTCCTGTAGTTAAGAAAAAAATATAATCAATAATGCAACTGAAAGGGAGTTTATTTTACTTAAAAATGGGCCACCGAGTTAGAATCATTAAATTTTCTTCTGGATTTAATATCAGGAAAAAGAGAGCTATGAATTGATATAAGATTTTATTTACTTAATTTCTTAGAAATACATCTAGACGGTTTTTATTATAATTATCACCAGTTATTATGTAAATACAGGTTGGTTGGCAACGTATAATGCATTCAGGTCTTGACTTCTGGTCACAAAATTAGCATAAATTCGAAATCTGTACGTATAATAAAGTTATTGCTATGGGTCTCATATTTCAACGAAAGCACCCGTTTTGACCGGTATCGAATGCAATTTAATGAAAGTTTTTGAGTGATATCTGTATTCAAGGAGAGAATAAAAGACTTTTTTCCGAAAACGAGTTGCAGAAAAGATTTAAAAGGGATTCAGAAGAGATTTTTTTCGTGACGTCTGTACGTACGTATGTATGTATCTCGCATAACTCAAACACGAGTAGCCTCAGAGCGTTGAAATTTTTTATATAGGACTACTATTACATGTAGTTATGTACTTGCTTTTTGGTTGCAATCGGCCGCGCCAAAAGTGTATCTCTCTCTCTCTCTCTATATATATATATATATACCAACTCTGTTACTCGGCTCCGTGAGCTCTGTTTTTTTTTTTTTTTTTTTTTTTCATTTTTATATGTTGGTAAATTGCCCATCTTTGTTTTAAACATGATTGAATTCTGTTGTTCTTATGTACCGGTTATAGCTTTTAGTTAATCTGCTTGCAGCGGTTGTAGAATTATCAGCAATTTAAAAGTTGTTTAAGTGCGGCTAAGCATAATTTCTTTTACCATAGCAGCAATATTTGTTTACATTTGAAACTTAGAAGAACAATGAATTAAGTCTTTCTACATCGTCAATGTCTTTTTGCCGAGTGGAACCAAAAGCAGACTTTCCGTTTTGTGCACCAAAAAATCTGCCTTCTTGTCCACTGTTTTTGCGTTGAAACTGTAATTTTGATTATAAAAATTGTTTTTATAATTGTTTTAACTGTATTTAGTGGTTTATGCTTTTCTATATCTTTCAATTTTTTAATCAAAATATTTTACCTCTCATGTCCTTTTGCTTTGAAGCGAAGTGAGAACTAAATTACTTGAACGAGAAATATATCTCTAATGAAATTCGAGGAAATAAGTTTAAATGAAGAGCAAAAAATGCGAATAATTTAACAGACCATACAAGGAAGTCATGTGATGTCCACATCAGATTTTTTTAAATCGGAAATCAGGATATTAAATTACTCAGAGCAATTAACTGAAGAATAATGTTTTGAGAAAAAAAAATAAAGTACACCATTAGCTTTAAAGAGAGGTCTCCAATACTTTTGAAAGGGCACAATGATGAAAAAAAAGACATTGTTGACAAAATAAACTCGCTTATTGAGATTAAAATTTAAAATATTGATAATAATTAAAAAAATTATAAAAAAATCTGAAAGGTTTCAGCTTTTAAACTACGTCTAAAGGAGCGTTTTTTTAACGTTTTATGTGTTACCTTTATTTACTAAATATCATGTCTTTCGCACTTAAACCATAAAATTCAGTTCAACAGCCATATCGCAAAATAATTTTAAAATGAGCATATTTTTAGAATTTCCGATACATAGTTCCGTGCGCTAGAGATTAAAAGGTTTATTTCCCCGTAGAAAGTTGCCATTGCTCGCTTTAAATCGTTGAGTTTGTTAATCAAAATTTCGTTAAAGTTTTACAAAATATCAAATAGATAATAAAAGAAATTTCAAATTCCAAATCTGGGCTTCGAGATGCCCATATTCGGGTAGAAACGTACGTTATTCGAAATTGGACGGCTCTAGGTACCGTTGTTTTATCACAATGCGAGAAACATACATACATTTATGCAGATTCTTTATTATTTAATTTCTTTAAATATAATACAGATCAATAATATTTGGTGGCAACAATTTGAAAACTGAATCGGACATTTATAGTGAAACAACGCAAAATACCAAAACGAAAATAATAGTTCTTCAGGGCAAATTGCCCTTTCGGACTAAAAAAATCTGAAAGCTTTCAAGTTTTATATTACATCGAAAGCGCCGTTTTTTAACGTTTTGTCTGTTACCTTTATTTATTAAATATCACGCTGTTCCCACTTAAACTATAACATTCAATTCAAGAGCAATATCACAAAATATGAAATCTCATAAATAATCTGTGCCTGAATTGCGCATAAAATATCTGTACCTGAAGGTGCACGGGGTGTTATTGTTAATGGAACGCTTTGAAATCGTTGAGTTCAAAGCGTCAAATCAAAAATTCGTTAATCAGAATCAAACCATTCGTTAATAAAAAAAATCCATAATAAAAAATTCGTTAAAGTTTTACAAAATATGAAACTGATAAAACAAATTCCAAATTCTGACTTCTAGATGCCTATGTTCGAAACATACATACATTCATGCAGATTTTTCTTGATTTAATTTCTTTAAGTATAATGCAGAGTTCTAATATTTAGTGGCAATAATTTGAAAAGTGATTCAGATATTTATTGAACGAACGCAAAATGGCAAAAAATAATAGAACTTCTGGGAAATTAATAGAACTTCTGGACTAACGCCCATTGGGCTAAAAAAGGAATCATGTGGCCGGAGCATTTTGTATGAAGGGGTGACCACCTCTTTTTCAAAGTCTTACTTTATAAAAGTGTAATATACCGGTATTGATTGAAGCAAACATATTTATTTTAAAAATCACTTGAGATAGCAAACTTCTCATTCAACAAAACAATACAACAAAATTCTCAAATTGAATGCGATACTTGAGCTTGGTGGTTATAGACTGACGTGTTTTTTTCTAGTCAGAACAAAATAACGTCAAAAGCTATATAATATATGAATAAAAGATTTCACATTGATACTCGTTTAGTGGGACAGAGAAGATTAAATGAAAAATTATACCTTGGTATTTTAATTCAATGCAGTAGATTAAATAAAAAATTATACATACATATTTTAGAATTAAATCGAGAGTTAGGAATTCCAAGAAAAGTTTAATTTACCTTTGATAAACTGTGAAGTATATCTGTGGTTTTCTTTCCCGATGTGAAGTTCGTTAAATCCACTCCTTCTTGGGCTCTCAAGAATGGACATTTTCTACCCAATTCGATTCCCTTCGGCTGTGTTATCGAAAGATCTTGCTGCGATTTATCGAGCCGCATTCTTGTTTCTAATACTTCCACCCAATTTAAAAGTGAAAATACGTTTCACCGGTTTTAAACTTTGCTTATATACGATACAGCAAGGGTATGGAAGTTTCCGTCCGCTTTTGCATTCTTTTATGCATATCGTAAAATTTTGGGATTTTGTTCACGTGCTCCGTTGTGACGTACGTATACCGGTAAGTATTAAAATTTTTTGTCGCGCGAAAGAGAAAACGGGAACTGTAATTGTCTTGAAATTCATGAAATATGACGTATGATTCATTGAAAGAGACCGAAGTCGGTCGGCGTTTCCGACGAGATTTTCTTCCAGAGGGACTGTCAACACATTACTGTAGAATTTTGAAGTTGCAGTTTTCTTTCCACAATTTGCAAATACTTTTCTTTGAAAGTGACTCGTATCCGTCAGTGTATTGGGTTTTCCTTGATCTGGTAAAAGTTAATCAGTAAAAAACCCCTCACAGACGTGAAGTTAATTATCCTTACGTCCGAAATTAACCGCAGAGTCAGAGAAAGGTTTAAATAATTTTTTTTTTATTTAAACAGAACGTAGAACATAAACGCACTTTCACAAACATAACGAACATAAACGCTAACAAAATTAACCACACCTCGCGAAGATGTAATTAAAGGCACAGTCAAATTCAATGGTGAACAGTAGTCAAAGATTGTACAATATAAATATAGGGTGAATCTGAACAAGAAGGAAAAACTTTAGGGGGTGATAGAAGGCAGCTATACGAGCAATATTCGTCATAGAATGTATGCTCGGAACGCAAACGGCGAGCAGCTAGGTTGCATTGAAAATGGTATAAAAAGGGTCGGCCTCGCACCCTACGGCACTTTTTCCGTGGATTGCCGAGACGATAGATGGTTATACAAACCCACGAAATTTCCAGGCCGATGGATTCGTCGAGGTGGTTTCATAGCTGGGCCATCAAGATCACCGGATCTGTCGTTTTTGAACTGTCTTCTGTGGGTCATATGGAAAGCCTAATCTACGAATGCCCCATTCAAACAAATATAGATCTAATCGTCAGGTTCGCCGTTGTTGCCTGCGATAGAAGGAAAATGCCGGAAAAGTCTTCTCAAATGTATGTCATTCCCAATCGCACAGGTGTGAAGCCTGCATTACTGCTGGCGGAAGGTCTTTCGGGCAATTTTTTAAGCATGTACATCAATTACATTCCTGTTAATAAAATGTTTCTTGAAGTAACTCCTCTCCTTCTTGTGTTAATTCTTTAAATATGACAGTAGAAAGCTACCCCTTACCCCTTAACTTCTCACAGCTTGCGTTCCGATCATACATTGTATGATGCATATTGCTCGTCTACCTGCCTTCTGTTCCTCCCCCTTAAAGTTTTCACCCTTTGTTCACATTCACCCTGTATACTCTAGGCTGGCTCAGTAACCCTATTGGAGTATCAAATTCAAATGGCCGCAGTGTGATAAAGCAAAGCCGAATAATTACAACTTATCAAAGTTGGCAGGAACTACACGTAGTGTATCCGCGCAGGCCAGAAATACGCTTTGTCTTACAATTCAAACAACTCGGTTTAAATCAGGATAGCCAACCCGCGGCGGAGTTTTAACAGTGGCATGCGAAGATTTATTGAAAAATTAAAAGGTTTGTAATAATAATAATGTCGTCTGTATCAGCTCCGTAGTAGTAAAGTTTTCACCTCTTGTTCACATTCACCCTGTATACTCTTAAGTAGTACACAACGTCCGTTCGTCTCAGCCATTACCAAAGCATATCACACGACAGCAACTGCAGGTGCCACGGTCCTAGCAGGCCTAGTACCTCTCCACATTAGGGCAGTTATGGAGCCAGCAATAACAATTGTTCACAATGTTTAAAAGGCAGGCAACATACGGAGATCTTCACCTCAATCCAGCCGATTATGAGTACAAGAGGTCTCTGCTTAACGTCCATCCAGCGCAACATGGAACAGGTATTCATGTCCACCCAATGATGTTTTTTATAAAGTTTTCGAAAAAGGTTTTGAATTATAACCTATGATATTTTTACCATGATCTTAAAACAGATGTATTTCTAAGCATACCTACACAAAATTAGAGTTATTTTATTTAAAATTTCCTAAGGTATACATGAATTTACATATTGGAGCGTTATGAAATTTAGAATGTTTGTTATAAGCGATCACAGCGCTAAATGTTATTTGAAAGTAACGAACGATGACTTTTTTTCCGCTCGTGTACAATGAAAAAAAAAAAAAAAAAAGAAAGAAAAATAGGTTGCTATAAATCAAGACGTTGCACCAGTGAATTATTCTTGGCGCGAACTAGAAAACGCAAGACAAATTTCAACAACGGGAAATATAGAACTGTGTCCTTTTTTGGGTGAGGTGGGTCCAAAATGTACCAATATAGGCTTTAGTGATTTTCTATGTGTTGGCGCGTAGGCTAGCACATACGAAACCAGTCACTAAAACTTAGATTAGTACATTGGTGGTAGGGGATAGTGGCACATCGTAGTACGTGAAGCTGCATCAGTAAGGCGCTGAAAGTTACGTCTCGTGTTGTAGTACATACTACATTTGCGACGCAGACGGGAAAGTGGTTTGTGAATCTGACTGCCGTAACGAAGGGCTCTGTTTGGAATCTCGAAGAAGGCATGGATGTAATTTGTCCGTCCTTCATAGGAGGCAAACATGTCGCACTTATCAGACGCCCTTCTTGCCTCCATAATAAAGAGGCCACCGCTTATGGCCTTCGTAGTGGCCAGTGCCTATAAACGCCTACAGCCCGCACTGGAGCAAAGCAATATTAAAAAAAAAAGTCATTTACAGACACAAACACATTTCGAAAGCATCTGAGCTTAGACCACATTGCGCTAAAAATACTTAAACATAGTATATCTTTGTAATTTTTGATAGACAGTCTCGCGCGCTGAAGATAAAAATATGTTATTTCCTACAACTGCTCGCTTTGAAATGTTTGCGTTTTGTAATCACAAATTCGCTAAAGTTTTAGAAAAATACGAAATAGACAATAAAGCAAATTCCAGATTTGGGCTTTCAAGTGTCCATGTTCGAGTGAAGGACTATGTTATTCAAAATTTGATGACTTTAGGTTTCGTTGTTTTTTCACAATGCGAAAAACATACATACATTCTTGTAGATTGTTCATTATTCAGATACTTTAAATATAATACAAGGCGATAATATTTGGTGGCAACAATTCGAAAAGTGATTCAGACATTTAAAGCGATTCGACGCAATATGCGGATTTAAGACTAATAGTCGCATATTTGGACTAAAAAATACTAGTATATATTTGAATTTCTGAGATACTACAAATAGCATTGGTTAGCTTTTATTAAATTTCAGTCGTATTAGAAGACATAGCTTTTAATAAGCGTTTTGTAAATTTCTACTATTACCTCACGCTCTCCCTATATCTTGTTCAAAATTTCAATCGTTAATAAAATACATTTTATTCACCCACTCAAGTTCAAATACATTTTTTTTAAAGTTGTAGTCGATGACACTTAATGTTAATACAATTTTTTCACATATTAAAATATAAAAATAAAGTCAATTCCTACTTAGGTTAACAAAGAAAAATGTTATTTTAGTTACTTTTTATTAAACATTATTAAAACTTTTTCCTTTCTAATTTATGAAGTTGATAGTAGTCTATAATTTCTCATTCTATCCATCTCTTGTAATGCTTCATTATTGAAAGGAAACTTTCCAGTGATCTTTGAGCAGTCCAGTTCTTCAATTAATATTCTATCTATTACGAAAAAATGTTAATAATGAAAATGAAATAATGTTAATATGAAACGAAAAAATGTTAATAAAAAGTAACTAAAATATAATTTTTCTTTGTTGACCTAAGAATTGACTTAAATGTTTTTATGTTATTTGTTTTTACTTTAACTGTTGTCTGTGCCCAGTTAAGAGTTAGCACAGAAAACATAAAATAATGCAATTTAATAGCTAATTAATTTTAACTTCACGGATGGCAACAGGATGGCTCAGGTAAGAACGTCGGATAGAAATGTTTGGATTATTTAGATTATTATTAAAAGCAGCTGAAGACAGCTTGCTGAGGAGCGTCTTCGTGGAGGACTTTTTAAGGGAATTCCGAGGGGATGATACATTCCTTGTAGCGTGAGGTAAGTAAAATACTTGTGAATCGGAAAGACTCTGTTAAGGATTTGTTGAACTTTCAACAGTAAATTTTTACGTTATATTGAGTAGACAGTTTCCGTACAATTTCAGAGAAACTAAATTTTTAAGAAATCAAAGCTAAGATGGGCTCAATTCATTTGTTTTAGTATATTGCGTCTGTATGTATTATAGCTAAGAATTATGTGTTAAAAGAGGAAAAAATTCGTCAACAGCAGGCAGTTTAAATTTTTTATAGGTGTTAGATCCCTCAGTATAACTACTGCTCCTTTCCTTTATTACGTGAAACGAAACTACGACCTAAAAATTCGCATCTCCTTTGTTTGCCAACAGTTTAAAGCACTTGTTACATCTGTGGCGGAAATTGTCCTCCACGGTTTCCCCTTACCTGTTTCCTTCCACATAAAAGCAAAGTGAAAGAATATTTTGTTTGCTTAACCTTTTTATTAGCAGACTTTTAGAAAATTTCATCTGCTGGCTACAGGATGCAAATATCATGTTTTTCGGCACGTTCGCACATTTTGCGTCGTTGAGTCAACGGCGTTCGTTGCGGCATTTTTGCTTTATTTATTTATTTATATTATAAATTTAATGTCAATTTCAGATTTTTTTAAATTTCTCAATCCCCTTTAGCATGTGTCATTCTGAATGGCGGGAAAACTCAGTTTCGTAAGTATTTCGTTAAACATTAAAAGAAGTTTCGTAAAAAATTCACTTTTATTGAATACATTAGAATTAAGTTGAATACAAATATAGAAATGGCTTACAGATTATGTCAGTTAATGGAGGATAAAATGAATACTGATATTTAAATTGAAAATAAGCGCTATTTTAAAATGTGTACAGTTGTCAAAAATTTTCTGCCGTACATTTTTATCGGTCTCAGAAAATAATTATTATAATCGGGACTCAGAAAATAATTTTATTGGATTTAGAAATATCGGACTCGGAAGATAATTACTATAAATTTTATTTTTCCTTTCAGGATAACTT